ATCCCGCCTTATTTGCGCTTGTTGTAACAAAGGCCTTCACGCTATTTGTGCGGCAAAACATAGTTGTTAGTTATCTTTTTATAAATTTTAATTTTCAAAGAAAAAAAACAATTTTGTTTGTTTATTTTGTTGTTTTTTTATTTAATGTTTATTTTTTCTTACTCACAATCACAATTAATATTGTTTCTTTATAATACGAAAAGAATTATTAAAATTGATTGATATTTGTCTAAATGAGAGTGTTTTATTTGACAACATCAAGTCAAAATATGTCCCGCAGTTTTCGTGCGTTCTTGCAAGAATTGCTTAGCAGTCAAACGGTTAAACAAAAGTTTCAAAGAATACTACAATCCAGATGAAATGTTATGCGTAGACGAATCATTGGTGCCCTTCCGAGGCCGCATAATATTTCGACAGTATTTGAAACAAAAACGGCATCGATATGGAATTAAAGCTTTTAAATTATGCAGTGGTGCAGGATACACCTATTCTTTTCAAATATTAGGTTGGTAAGAAATTAATGTCGGTTTTCAAACTTTCGAACTTTGGCGTTTGGTTTGGGATAACAGTTCACTTTATTCTATTTACCTTCCAATATCATCTTACAGTGCAGATGTCGCGCTGTGTGTTGATAGGTATGCTTTTGTTTTTACCGTTGATTTGTGCTCACTTCAAGTTATTGACTTCGCAATGGATACTAAACAAGTTCGTGTAATATTCTTATATGAATATAAACTAGGTCATAATGCTGCAGCTGCGACTCGTAATATCAACAGTGCATTTGGAGAAGATACCGTAAATGAACGCACGGTGCAGCGTTGGTTCAAAAAATTTCGAAGTGGAGATGAGAGCCTCGAAGATGAAGATGGTCGTGGACGCCCTTCTCTCGTCGACAATGACCAATTAAAGGCACTGGTTGAAACTGATCCACGAACAACGGTTCGACAACTTGCACAGGAGTTGGGTGTAAGCCATCCAACAGTTATTGACCACCTGAGACAGCTAGGCAAGTCAAAGAAGCTCGACAAATGGGTGCCGCATGAGTTAAGCGTAGACCAAAAGAATCGTCGTTTCGAAGCGTGCTCTGCGTTCCTTCTACGCAATAAAAATGATCCGTTCCTTCATCGCCTTGTGACATGCGACGAAAAATGGATAATGTACGACAACCGTCGACGATCAGCCCAGTGGTTAGATCACGATGAAAAACCCAAACACTTTCCAAAGCCGAAGCAGCACCAAAGGAAGGTTATGGTGACTGTTTGGTGGTCTGCAGTGGGAATTATCCACTATAACTTTTTGAATCCGGGTGAAACGATTACAGCGGAAAAGTATTGTCGAGAAATTGATAACATGCATGAAAAATTGGAACAATTGAATCCGGCATTGATTAATCGGAAGGGCCCAATTCTTCTACACGACAACGCTCGACCACACGTCGCACAGTTAACGCTACAAAAGTTGAATGAATTGGGATATGAAACTCTGCCCCATCCAGCATATTCCCCGGATCTGTCGCCAACTGATTACCACTTCTTCAAACATCTCGACCACTACTTGCAAGGGAAGATATTTACCAACCAAGCAGCTGCTGAAAATGCGTTTAAAGAATTTATCAATTCCAGAACAACAGAATTTTACGCTACTGGAATCAACAAACTGACAGTTTGTTGGCAAAAATGTGTAAATTGTAATGGATCTTATTTTGATTAAAAAAACTTATTCCAATTTGTAATATGTGGATTTAAAGATATAGCTTGAAAACCGACATTATTTTCCTACCAACCTAATATATACGGGAAAAGAAAAAAATGGAGGCAAAAGAGCAGGAACCATATCGTCAGAGATTGTAATGTCTCTCTGCAAAAATATAATGGGTAAAGGGCATACTGTCTGCACAGACAATTGGTACATGAGTGTTGATCTGGCAGAAAAATTAATCGCAAAGAATACACATTTAGTGGGCACCCTACGGAAAAATCGATGTGGAAATTCAGTAGAAGTAGTATCCAAAAAATTAAAACGTGGAGAACTCATTGCTCGCGAAAATAAATCGGGCATAACAATTTTAAAATGGAAAGACAAGAGAGACGTATTGATGCTTTCAACGAAACATTCGGCAGAAATGGCTACTGTACATAAGAAATTTTATTCGTGTGAAAAACCAAAAATGGTTGTGGACTATAAACTAGGAAAATCATCAGTCGATTTATCAGACCAAATGATAGCTTATAGTTCACCACTACGTAAAACTTTAAAGTGGTATAAAAAATTAGCAATAGAACTGTTATTGAATACATGTATGGTAAATGCCATGGTGTTATTCAAACAGGTAACACGCAAAAATATTCAAATTTCCGACTTCAGAATGCAAGTTGCAATGTATTTAACAAAATGTCGTGATGATGAAGTTGAAGTTTCTATTTCTCCACGTGAAAGCTTGCTGAGAAAACCACGTCATGAATTAAAAGCAATGCCGGGAAAAGTTCGAACAGTGCGACGATTTTGCAAAATTTGTTACGTCGAGAAATTGATAACATGCATGAAAAATTGGAACAATTGAATCCGGCATTGATTAATCGGAAGGGCCCAATTCTTCTACACGACAACGCTCGACCACACGTCGCACAGTTAACGCTACAAAAGTTGAATGAATTGGGATATGAAACTCTGCCCCATCCAGCATATTCCCCGGATCTGTCGCCAACTGATTACCACTTCTTCAAACATCTCGACCACTACTTGCAAGGGAAGATATTTACCAACCAAGCAGCTGCTGAAAATGCGTTTAAAGAATTTATCAATTCCAGAACAACAGAATTTTACGCTACTGGAATCAACAAACTGACAGTTTGTTGGCAAAAATGTGTAAATTGTAATGGATCTTATTTTGATTAAAAAAACTTATTCCAATTTGTAATATGTGGATTTAAAGATATAGCTTGAAAACCGACATTATTTTCCTACCAACCTAATATATACGGGAAAAGAAAAAAATGGAGGCAAAAGAGCAGGAACCATATCGTCAGAGATTGTAATGTCTCTCTGCAAAAATATAATGGGTAAAGGGCATACTGTCTGCACAGACAATTGGTACATGAGTGTTGATCTGGCAGAAAAATTAATCGCAAAGAATACACATTTAGTGGGCACCCTACGGAAAAATCGATGTGGAAATTCAGTAGAAGTAGTATCCAAAAAATTAAAACGTGGAGAACTCATTGCTCGCGAAAATAAATCGGGCATAACAATTTTAAAATGGAAAGACAAGAGAGACGTATTGATGCTTTCAACGAAACATTCGGCAGAAATGGCTACTGTACATAAGAAATTTTATTCGTGTGAAAAACCAAAAATGGTTGTGGACTATAAACTAGGAAAATCATCAGTCGATTTATCAGACCAAATGATAGCTTATAGTTCACCACTACGTAAAACTTTAAAGTGGTATAAAAAATTAGCAATAGAACTGTTATTGAATACATGTATGGTAAATGCCATGGTGTTATTCAAACAGGTAACACGCAAAAATATTCAAATTTCCGACTTCAGAATGCAAGTTGCAATGTATTTAACAAAATGTCGTGATGATGAAGTTGAAGTTTCTATTTCTCCACGTGAAAGCTTGCTGAGAAAACCACGTCATGAATTAAAAGCAATGCCGGGAAAAGTTCGAACAGTGCGACGATTTTGCAAAATTTGTTACCAAAAAAATTCAAAGAAGCTAGGAAGAATAATTGCAAAAAACTGTAGCAAAAAAGTCGTGACATATTGTGAAGACTGTGCTGGTTCACCCTTTCTTTGTTTAGAATGCTTCAACACGACACATCGTAACGTGCGCGCATAATAAAACTATATTTCATGTACAAATAAAACTATTTTCAGATGTTTTATACTGCATTCATTTCTTCACACCACTACATCAACGATGATAATAATAAAAAATTATAAGTATTGTCATTTGTTTAAATTATATATATTTCTATCAATCTGGGCGCGCCGGTCACCGGTGGCCCCCATGGCGTCACTGCCAAGTTGAGTGCCGTTCACCGGTGACACCCGTGGCATTCAACGTGTTAACACCCTGTCCTGGGAGGCCATCCGCAAAGCACTTGAAGAACATCAAGTCCCTTTGCACTTGCGGATGGCGGTAGACGCGTACCTCCGCGGCAGGTGGATTGAGTATCCCGGCCGGTACGCGGACTTCCGAAGGGAGGTCACATGTTGTGTCCCACAGGGGTCCGTGTTGGGCCCCTTACTGTGGGACATCGCGTATAACACGGCCCTGCGAGCCAAACTCCCCCCGAGGGTCAGCCTGACGTGTTATGCCGATGACATGTTGGTGCTGGCCTCTGGGGAGGACACGGGGAGGACGCGGGGAGGACCATCCGCCTCGTAGAGGTGGGAGTGGCCTCCGTCGTTTCCCGAATTCGGAAAATGGGGCTGAGGAAGGCGCCGGAAAAAACGGAGGCGGTGTGGTTCGTTGACCACACCGCCCGCTGGCGCCGCCTCGAAACGCCCCCTTCCCGGGTCCGGGTGTGGCTTTGTCATCCAGGTGGGGACCGGCACGTGTGACGTCGTGCGACGACGTTGGAGTTAGTTCATAAGTATAATAAGCCTTCGCGACAACACAGCGAAGATAGACTAAGAATATTATACTCATATTATATATATTAAGCTCCTACTAATCTACCTCCGATCCTATAAACATCGACCAACTAACTCTACCCCTATATCACATATCCTATAAACATCCTACGATCGACTTAGTCCTTTATCTCATATAAACATCCTCTGCCAATTCTCCGTACATATAGATTAAGCTTCCACTAACCTTAATCTATATCTCACATAAACATCCTCCTACTAAATTCCAACACTATCTCATATAAACATCCTCTGATTGACGTCACTCCAATATCTCATATAAACATCCGCCGACCAACTTCTAATAAACAATCTCACGCCACTTTCACCACAACAATAAGATAACTGTAAGCATCCCCGCGATGCCCCGCACCTCCAAGTAATCTGTATAAAAGAGACGATAGAATCAGCAGTTCAGGTTCAGTAAAGGTAGAGACATAGTTCAGATACATAGTCAGTTACTCAGTCAGAGTACAGCGACGGGTCGCCGCCAGCCGGCACGACCGCGCGTCGTCAGCCGCATCTGATATACGACTGACTCCGGAGTCCTAAATCCTACAATACATATATATCTATCCTCGTCGTCAGCCGAATAATCGCGAGGCGATAGAAGCTTCTAGAAGGAACTAGTTTGCGATCCGCGGTAGACTCGCGGTTTTACGCGGGAAAACACTTAGCGACGCGTCTTGTTGATAAGCCACGCTTCATTAGCAACGGTCAAATATAAATACCACAGGCCGCGGACGCGGCCCGCATTCTTGCTGTACTCTGCTGCGCCCCTGCAAGTGGACACGCCTTGTCGTGGCGCAGGGGCCAAAGGTCAGGGCATTACCAGACCTTTCTAAGGTGTCCAACATTATTGGCGAGCCAATGTGGGTTGTTGAGGAGCGTGAGCAGTGTGTATCGGACTATCCGACGCAGCATGCAATAGACCACAAAGCACCAAGTAAGGGGATCAAGCCTGATGTCTCTAGCTTCGGCTATACTCGTGGTGGCCGGCGGTCGGGGATTGGAACCGGCGAGCTGGATCACCGCTGCGGGCGAAGGGGACTCAAGCCGTCCTAGCGTTACGACGTCTAGGCGGATGATTGGTGTGGAGTGTAGAGGGATGCTCGGGGTCAAACCCGAGTAGGCCCCGCGACGTGGAACCCGCGGTCGCATAGCTGTTCACGTTCCAACAAAACAATATCTACAGTAACTCGCATCCTGTACCAGTGCACATTAGAGCCTCTGTGCACCTCAGGCACCCGGGCTTAGCCGGGTGGGAATCAACGTCAGTGGGGGTTCGAAAGAATCATGAGCTGGCGGTATTTCAGGTGTTAGGGTGCCATACATGGCAAAATGGAATGGAATTGGAAATAAATAAAGCGACTCGATTATAACATCTCGAATGGGTTCAGATGAAAAGAGATGGAAAAGGAGGAAGGCGCAGGCCAACCTCCTATTAGCTCTAGGCCTCAGGGACTGCGAGCGACAGCAGTCGTGAGTGGTACGGGAAAGGTGATCCCGAGGTACCCGAAATCCCACGTGTTCCAAGCAAATCGCGCGGAGCCCCACACCGTAAGCTCTGACGATGCAACGACCCACTGAAGTCGTCTGCAATGGTAGTGGCGTCAGAGAAACGGGGGTCTTGCCTTAATCGGCTGGACTGAGAGGATGAAAACCTCTCTAAAAAATCCTTAACCCTAAGCTGCGGTCCGCGGTGATGGGGTACGTTCTTGTCGATGGCACCGGAACGTGGCTGGGGAGTGCATCAGTGCCAAGCGACCAAACTCCGGATACCTGGCGCCCTCCGGAGTAATAGCCTTGCCCGGGTAAGGGGTGGCTCTACCCGGGCCGACCTCATTTCCACCCGACTCGTGGGATTATTATGGATTTTATAAAACCTAAAACAAAAACGAAGAGGAAGGAGAGGCGGAGGGAGGAAGGGGAGTCTTCGGACTCCGAAAGTCGAACAAGCAGACGAGACTCAGTCTCAGGTTGCTGGGAGCGAGGCTGCTGAGCAGCCGAGTAAGCCAGGCAGCCCTAAGAACGCACTTGACGTGCTAAAAGTCCACAGGAAGGAA